ATTTCGCCAAAAATTTGGAATCTGTTAGAGACAAAAGCCAACTTACTCAATGATGCGGTAAAATCCATCAAATTTCCTGAGAAAGAAGAAAAGGTACTATTTGCAATACTACGCTATGAAGTGCAATCAAGTAATATGAATTGACAACAGCACACAGGCATTTCCGCTTTTGTTTTTAATTCTTTTGCTATTTAGGTTAAGAAGTTCCTGAAATACAAAGTGTGGAATGGTCATATTGAACATTTCGCCATTCCAAAAACTGGAGTCACTTTTGAAGACATGAAAAACGGCGTCCATTTACGAGTACATTGACCTACATAGTCAACTGTGAGCATGGAAACTAATCGCAAGGTTTCAGGTGAAAGGCTTACAGTTCCGAGGTTCAGTTCGGGCAAGACTACGCATAGGAACAAGGTTGGGCCGCATACGAATCAGTGGAGGTATCAAGTAAGCCATTTGCAATGGGTAACTTACCCTATGAGTAGCACTTTCATTCCGCTCTAATAGTTTCTTCGTCATATTCGTTTGCCGATTCAGAGTAAAGAGTTCGAATGCTGAGCTCAATGTAATTCTAAAATGGAACGACTTTACTTTCACGCCTACAATCTCTATGAAATCGAATCTTCGTATTGATTTCACACGCCATCTTCGGAGATTCAACGCCATCCGAAAGCCTTTCCAGAAGTTTGCTACACGTGCCGTCAACAAAAAAGTTTCCGAAAAGGTTAGTTCAGTTCTTCTCTATAAACGATTAGGTTGCTATGAAGGAATTACTGACATGCGCTGCTCTTCCTTCTTTCCTTTTACCTAAAGTCGCAGTTGACGGCAGTTTTGAATAATCCAGATTGTGACGAAAAATGAAGGATAAGGTGGGAAATAGTGCGATGAAGGTGAAGAAAGTGCGTGAATAGGCGTTTCCGAAAGGAGGAAAAGCTTTGGAAGAATTGTTAAAAAGAGGGTTGGACGAGAATGGGACCAGAAAAATTGGAACCAGAAAAATGAGGAAGAATGGGGAGATTGGACGAGTAATACAATGTACGTCATTGCATACGTGTGGGCCCTGGTGCGAATAGCTGAGTACAGTAAACAAAAATGTCCTTCCAAATTCATTCACTCATAAGCATAAATTAGCAAAAAACCCTAGTAACAGCAAAAGTAGCCCACCTCTTTCAGTTTCTTGGAGTAGAAAATTAGAATAAGGATCGCAGCAGCAAAGAGAATAACAGAGAGTGATATAAAAGGAGAAAAACGTCGCCTTGTCACTAGGCGATTCGCTGATTGATTGCTGAATGCTTGGGTCCTAGCGCGAGTATTGCAATCTGTATCGCTTCGAAACTCGTCTGGCTCATCATTGGTCGAGAGGCGGGGCATCCGACCGATCCTGTAACGGGGCTTCTACTATGCCGTAGCTGTTGAGTTTTGAACCCGATAGCGTCCTTCCTGTTACCCTTGGGGTCCACTGGGTATTCATAGGGAGAGACCAGAAATTATTTTTTAACGTGAATTGTGCTTTTAATGCGAATTCGCTATCATACGAACAACTGAGCTGCTGTGTTGACTTTTTTGTCAGTATGTCGACCTCAGGTTTGTTGGTGTGGAGATAGTACTAACAAAGCAATAAAACATCGGTTACAACATTTTATTAATCTCCACTGACAAGTCCTTCCTCTCAATTGCCTCAGAGACTGATCATTTATTCATAGTAATCTTCTTATTCTTTTTTTCTCAGAATTTCTCGAGCATATCACCCACTGATATCAATGTTTCTAATACGTTTTGTTGAATTCGCGATGTAGTGTTGAGTATTACTACACCTTAAAAGGGCACAGCTTACATGTAGTGTAGTAGATGATGATGAAAAATAATTCCAGTTGGTTGAATTGGTCCACAAACAGTTGAACCCCAGACTTCGAAAACTCAAACAGAAACTGATCGCAAGAGGGCTTGCCAATTACGGTATTGAATGGGCAGTGCAGAATCAGATCCTTCGTGTGGCTGTTAAGCCAAAGAGGTTGGTTTTCAATCCTTTTCATGTTCTGAACACAATGCTTTCTGCCTTTGATTCTCTTTGCTGAATTTCAAACATTCAGCTCGACTATCGCCATTTCTCCAATAAAACCAATTAACAAAATGGTCTGCATCGAAGTGAACGTCATCCAGTTGTTGCTGAGGGGGAAACGATCAGCGGTTGGTACTTTCAGAACTATATTTAACTAACAAAAAAAAGAAATACTGACTGAACAGCAAAAATATGGTTTCAGTTGGGATCAGGTCTCGATGTGACATGTGTAAATCCGATGGCGAAATGTAAGGGATTGAAATGCTCGTACTGTACAGACATCGACATCATTCCAGTACCTCCAAATGCGATCAGAGATGAATTTCACAATTGCATTCCTGGATTTTAAATGGATGAGCATTTAACTCTGAATCGTTGTTCTTAGTACCATTCAATAAAACGATCAGCTCACAAGTGTATACTCAAGTGAAGATTGCTCTTTCACTCAAAAATATAAACGAATAGAAAAAGAAAGAAAGAAACATCTACACTCTCGAGACCAACCTGCACTTGAACTGGCAGTTTTTGATCATTTGAACCCAGAAGAAGCTGATGTTTGTGCTTCACACATATCCCTGCGGCAGAGGTGGTGTAGTGACAAGGGGCACACTTCACACACACACATGGTACGGGTTCGAATCCCGGATCGATATAAACCAAGGCCAACC